CAGAATTTCGGGAATGTACTCACACATGCCCAGCATGATTTTCAATCCATGGGTTTAGAGACTTAAACCACAGTTGGCCATGTGGGAATCCAGTGCCTTAATCACTATGCCACCTGCTCTCTTCAGTTTTGTGCATTTCTGTATAGACGTCTGATCCTTTTTAGTTTTCATGGCAGTTCCTCCTATATTCTTAGACTGTTCATATCATGTCCTATCAACATCCCTTAAGATACTCATCTTTTCGTTCATGATTTTTTTCCCCCTCCTTTGAGCTTTTGAGAAAAATACCTTATATACTGAATTCCCTTTCTCCACGTTTCTTGTCCACCATTATTTATTCTTGGCTTAAATTAGCACCCAGAGCACTTCTGCATCTAACTTGTAACTTTTTCTCTTACTGCTCATGACCTTCTCTGCTTTTTCTACTCTTGCATGACTTCTTGATATTTTGGAGTTACTTAATGTTTTTCATGACTCCAGACGTTGCTTGACATTGTCCACCTTTTTAATTTCTTAGCAAAGGAAGAATGTTCCTTCTAAATTTTTCTGAAAGGTAAAATGACTCAGAAAAATCTGGAATGTGAGGCTCCCCTGCTTCCCAGCAGCTTTCACTTTGTATTGTAGAGTTTTGCGGGTGTGCAGCATTTTTCACTAATAACTTTTAGAGTCGGGCCCATTTTCATGTCTGTAACGGATTGTGGTTGTCACTAAAATAAAATAAAAAATAAGAACGTTATTGCCTTGCAGCTTCCCTGTTCCTTTACTTGAGATATAAATAATGTTTGCCAAGTAAATACAAAGACATTATCACCAAGGGATGAATTATTGTCTTTCTCCCAGCTTTAAAATAAAACTTTTCAGAATTATATTTAGAATTATAAAGTAGGGAGGGTGCGGGGAAGGGAGAAAGCAACCTTTTAAAACAAAGTTCAAATCAATAAAAATTAACATTTCCTAGCCTCTATTTTTCAACTAATGACTGAAGACAAGTACTAATTAGAGAAACCTCAAGTGTCTGGGTTTCTGGTTGTAGCAGATGGTGCTGCGTGAGAACTATTCCTAGCGCCAGGCAGAAGTCTGACTCGTTCTCAGCTACCTTTTTCCACGGTGATCTTGTCTGAGGACACTCATATCTGCCCATTGCTTTGCACTGAGGCTTTTCCTTCGTCTTCCATTCTCTGTTTCACTCCTTTCTATAATAGTTTCAGGAGGTGTATTCGGCCATGTTTACTGAGGACTTTTGTGATCTGTTATTTTCACTTTTTCCTTAACAAATGAAAGAAAAATTTATCATTTTCTTTTCAGAGTGCCTTTGACTCTTCTCACCTATATCAATAGGCTTTGTAATGCTCCCATTGCACTTTTAGTATTTTTTTTTTCCTCTGGATCACACAAAACCAGCACTGAAGTCTTCAGTCCTCCCTCAATTCCCTCAGCCATTAGCTAGGAGTAAAATAGGTTTGCCTTTTCTGATATTTACTCTTTTTTTAAAAAAAATTCTTTTCACAGATTGTCTGAAAACATATGTTTTCTAGTGCTTTGTACTTCCTTTGCTATTAACTCTGCTAAACAACTCTGGGGACACTTTGATTTTTAAATACGCGTTTTCAGTACTGTTGAGTATTTATATTGCTTTGACAAATGATGCATGTGCATTTTCTACAGTATGAAAATCATTCATCTTAGGATGACAAATCATGGAAGTTATTCTATTTAACTGGATTTTTGCTTGTCTTCAGAGTTATTTTACCAGCACCACGTTCATTCTCTCTGTCGTGTATGTTCTGATGCTGTTTGGTCTTCATAATGAAGCTTCGTCACGATTTAGTGTTTTGTTGTTGTTGTTGATATTAAAATATTTTTTTGATGGAATGAGAAGAAAATAGTGACTGGTTATCATCAACATATCTGGTTTAGGTGAATAGTACTACCCTCTTTTTTTTTTTCTTTTTTTAAATTTTTTCTCTATGATGTTTCTTGTCCCTGCTGAAGACAAAGAAGGAAGGAAGCTACTGTAAAAATTCAAGCAAGAATTCTGAGAGCCTGACCTTCTAGAGCAATATTAGCATGGAAAATAATTCACATTACTATCTTCAAATAATAATGTAGGCCAAATGATCATTTTAAATATTGTAATGACTTTTATAGTTTAGAAATTACAGGTTTTGGGACAGCCCCATGGCCTGGTATTAAGGGAGCCAATCTACTATGGCCAACTGTGTGATTTAAATTCTGTCCCTGGTGGCTTGAAAAACATGCTAGGTACATGTGCATGCATGTCCAAAATCCCCCCAAAAAGTAGAAATGAAGGAATAAGGATTGCCATGTGACCATGCCCCATTGGGGAGTCTTTTCTCCTTCTCCCTTGTGTCTCTCACTGAGGAACATATGGCAAAATGAAAAGACAAAAACAAAAAACAAACACAAAACAACTACTGTTTCTCTCTCTAAGTGTCTCTATTTTCTTTGTAACATAATACATGTTTAACTATTGTGGAATTCATCATATGCCCCACTTAGGTATTTCTTAGTTTCAGGAACTACTTACGTGGTGTCTATTCTTTTTTAGTTTGCTTGTTTTCTCTTTTAAGGTTTTTGCCACAGGGCTCATACACTTGCTGGAAAGAGATAGACAGTGAGAGGGGAAGAGGAATCACCTCCAAAGAGGGATGGCAATGCCACAATCCATTTTCCTCCATTCTCCTCTTAGAAGTTTGGGCACACACACACAGACGTGCCTATTGTGATTTTTAAGCCACCAGGTCCAGGACTTGAATGTACTACCACAATGGCCATGTGGTAGTACAACACCTTAACCACTGTGCTGCCTGCTGGCCCACTGGGTTTCTAGTCTGTTGTTAAAATAAATAACATTTGTAGGTCTCCCCCAACCTCAGAATATAATGGCAAAAGGGAAATAAAAATAGCATGTACTATCACCCAGAGATAACAATTATTAGCATTATAATGTTTTTCTTGTCAGTTTTTCATAGGTACAAAAGTAATTGTGATGAAATATGTATCTATAAGTATTTACTCATTTACATAAATGAAATATTACATTTTTATGGAACATTAAATTATGAGTTGTCATGAAAATTATTGAGAGCATAATATTGAGTCATCATGTGGATACACGATTTTTTTTTTTTACCATTTCCCTATTTGTTGACCATTATAGCTCTTTCCAGCTTATTATAATGGATGCTGTAGTTAATACTTTCTTGACTACCAAGTCTTCATATATATCTTCAGGATAGTGAATTAATGTATAAATACATTTTAAAAGTCAAGACCTTCTTCTAAGGCTTGTAACTGAATATGTATAAGGATGTTAGTGAGTCCTAATGGCTGAAAGTACCAGTACAGAGGTAACAACAGTGCTTAGATGCTTTGCACTTTCCAGCTCCACCTCCTCTTCACGTGGTCACCACCTTGGAAAAGAATACCAGAGCTCAGAGGTTTGAAGGGAAGACACAGAGTATGATGCCAGAGATTCCCACTAGTCTTCCCAAGTCATCCCCACTAATCTATTGTACAATGGATACCGCATGTTTACTAATTGTTCTTTAGCATTTTTGTTGGATTTTCTTTAAGATCCTTCTGTTTATTACAGAAGATAGTTTTTGCCCACCATGTCTTGGTCTTTTTCAACAACCAGGAACATTACTAAATAACTAAATGTCTTTTGTGCTCTTTGGCATTTTTTTAATTGCAGGAAAAGCCTCGTATGGGTATATAGTAGTATAATAATGTAAGGAAGGGCTACTTAATTTGGGAAATGTCTGGAGAGTTCAGTTAATAGTTTAGAAGACAAGTTCAGTACAATTCTCCTTGTATAAGTCAGTTTATTTAAGCAAATAATTATTTGCTTTGGGTATGGTATCTATTAAGCCAAGTACTCTATCACAATTATATATGACACCAGAAAGCTAATTATGGTGAGTCTAGTTTTTTTTTTCCTTTCCTTTATTCATGAGCATGAGAGATAAAGAGAGAAAGTCAAGCAATCTCAGGAGGATCTCTCATCACAATCCCTTTATTCTCCCATATATTGATAGATCTAGCATCACAAGTACAGTGCATTCCTAAAAAAACCAAGTCAGTCCAAGTTTAGTTTTTCTTGATCCTTGTCATTTCAGGGTTGTTTTTTTTTTTTATGTTGATATAAAAAAGCTATCTTTTTGAAAAATGAGCTCTTAAATAGACTACATTGGGGTCATTTCTAATTGTTAAAAAATGTCTTTATACCTTGTGTATGATTTTAATGAATTTGAGTATTTCTAGTTATTAGTTAATATTTTATTTTCGAACTTTCTACATTGAAATTAATTATTTGTCTTTAAGTGAATTATTTCAGCGACTGCAGTTCTATCATGATTTTACAAAGCTAACAACAGGAATAATTAAGAATTGGTACAAATAGCATTTGTATCTATATTTAAAAGCTTTTCAATTGACCAAGCAGATGTTGTTACAGATTTTTGTCTTTGATATGATAAATTTCCCATTAATTTTGAAAATCTGTGTTTAAGGAATGTGCTTTCAAGTTTTGCATAGTTGAGCTGCAATTTGTGAAAGTTCAAGCAGCTGTACTGACAAACCATTTGAAAAATTCATAATTGAGGCTTTTTTAAGCAAAGGCTAGAGCTTTATAATTTTATATTTTATATTCAAGCACATGTATTTCAATTTGTTTTCTTTTATGGGTCCTGAAGGTATGATGTATATTACACATGTATACACATACATATGTATACATGTACATACATAGATGTGTATATTGTGTCGTTGGAAAAGTCATGACACATTTTTGCATAGAAAAACACATCATGGCTTTTCCAACAAGCCAATACATGTTCTCTACAACACATATATTTATGTTGTACATCCAAGCTAAGTTCAAGGGAGAAGTGCATATACTTCATTTTTCTAAAGTAAAAAATATTCATTTTAAGTTTTTACTATCCAATTTTAAATAAAGCTTTTTATTTGTTTAGGTTGAAGAAATTGTGGATATTGGATCATTTGCTCCAGAAGACATTCATATTCCTAAGATTTATGTACATCGTCTAATAAAAGGAGAAAAATATGAAAAACGAATTGAGGTAATTGACTTAGCATTTTCGTTAGTATTTATGGGTCTGATTACCAGACACATATGTCTCTGGGGCCATTCCAGACGATAAGGGATTAGAGCTGCACAGGATGTCTGATTTCGAATTCTTATAGAAGCCTCTCAGGTGTTCACAGTTAAGGGGACGTGATTGTCTGTGCTACTATGTAGCCTGTCAATGCCTTGTACTCACAAGGTATATATCACCAGTCATGTGATTCTGTAGGCCATAACTATCAAGTTCTATAACCTTTCTAATTTATAATACATAGTTTGGACTGTCTGTCTTAGAAGGTGGAGAAGAATAATTAGAACTTTGGTGGCATTATCCCTGATGGAATCCTTTTCTTTTCTTTTCTCTCTCTTTTTTTTTTTTTCTTACATTTTTCTTCTGTATTCATGATAGAGTACACGTGCATGCATATATGCAAGTGAGAGAGACGAACACCCTCCACAGAGTCTGGGCATGCCACAGTCCCTTTCCTCTACTCCTCCTGCCTGTTGGATCTTGGGCATTTATATGCATGCCCCATGTATTTCAAGCTGACCTGGCAGGACCGTTGAGTTGGGTTGTTATGTAACATCTGGCTTCTCTTGAGCAGAGCTTTATTGCTTTGCCATGGAACTGGCCCCCAATGGAGTGTGAATGTTTGATTGTTCAGGGATATCTACCTATTGCAATTGCTCTGCACTTTTATAGAGTGCAGTAAGAATATCATTTCCAATTAGCTATGGGCCATGGAAATTGTGGCAGGGAGCAAGTATCAAGAGCATTGAAGGTATTTCAAGGTCAGTGAGAGAATAAAGGATGACTAGCTGGGCCAGAATTGATATCAAGATTCAATGGGACCAGCAGTTAGTGTAATGGCTGTCACTGGATTCCCATGTAGTCGACCGCGGTTTGAGTCCTGGACTTGGTGCTTCACGCCGGGCGCGTGTCCGTGCATGTCCAAGATCCCGAGAAGAGGATGGAGGAGAAGGGATTGCAGCATGGCCATCCCCTCTAGGGGGTGATTTCTCGCTTTCTATCTTTCTGTCTCTCTCTGTCTGTCTGGCGAGCGCACGTGCCCAATAAGAAAATCCTCTCCAAAAATGATATCAAGATTCATATTTCTAGCTATCAACAACAGATAGACATAGAGTAGGGGAACATCAGCATTAGGGAATCAGAGATGCCCTGCTACCATGTGGACATCAAACTGCAATACTTTCTGCAATCCCAGACTAGTTTTAGGGCATAGGGACAAAGGATGGGAGATTTGCAAACAGCAACCAGAGTTTGCATTTAGGAGATTTAGAAATGGAAATAATTTACTGGCTGGTTTCTTGGTATTTATGTGATTTCTGTGATGCACTTGTAGCAAAAGTTGTCTAGGTTCTGCAGGTGGAAATAGGGAATTGGCAGCAGCACATTCTGACAGCCTAGAAAAACAGATTCCCAAGGTCTGTTTCTTTTTCCCTCCTCTGGCTCCATCTGAGCACCTGGGGAGAATTCAGGTGCAGGAGTCTTTCGAGTAACAGTAGTTGCCCTCAATGTGCCAGTAATGGGGATTATCTGCTTCAAAGAGACAGAAAAGGCTTATCTTCCTTGTCAAGCAAATCTGACCTCTTTCATTTACTTTACTAAGAATTACTTTTGTCATCAAATGTCACCCATGTTATTTTTTTTTAATTTTGGAGATTTTCCTTATTATCGTAGCAATTGGAGTTAATTTTTAAATAGTATTATTATATTTATTATTTTTATGTATAGTTTTTTTATACATTCAATCACTATATATTATTACAGTGTGCAAAGTGAATTTCCCCAGCATGAATATACTGCATTTTAGTCCAGTAAAAGATATTGTAATACACATTATCATCAACAAATTAATTTTTATAATAAAATGTTATATGTTATTTATTTCTGTTTATTTTAAAGCGTTTATCAATACGGCAACAGGAAGATGAAAAAGCCAAATCTGGTAAATCCAAAGACAATGTGAGGGAACGTATCATCAAACGGGCAGCTCTTGAATTCGAAGATGGCATGTATGGTATCCTTTCTGAGACTGGACAAAGAGTCCTTGCTTTTCCCAAGTTGATCAGTCCACGGTAACTTGTAAAGCAATTGATCAGTATTTTATTTGTTCATTTCTCTTTTTTTAATCTTTATTTTATTTTTTATTTACATTTTTAAATTTCGTTTTCTTTTATACATTCAATCACATTATTTAGCTTACAAACTGAATATTTCAACATGTGAACATTTCTCCCTAGTCCACTTGATAAAACTATAAAATATCTTCAACAGACAATACATTTCTTTGTCCCATTAATGCTTTGCCTCTTTATTTTTCTTCTAAATGTCCTTCCTCAGACCATACTCTTTCACACACACTATATCTGGTATTTACACCCATTTGCTGTGTTTCTATATCCTTTAGTCAATCATTTTCAGTCATAGAGTGCCAACACTTGATATATATTAAGTGGGGACATACAATGTCTCTCCTTCTTAGCCTGGCTTGCTTCACTCAGCAGTAAATCTTCCATATTCAGTTTTTTATAAGCTCTTGCATATAACCTAAAGGTACCAAGATATATGAAATTGGGATTGTAATGTTTACCTTCTTGAAACAAAATGGCAACCAAAAATTTGCTTAGCTAGTTTCTAATATGCAGTAGATTCCAGTGCAATTTGGGATTTAGATAGAGGATACTGGGAAAAGAGATTCTCCAAAAAGGAATTCCAAATCTCAGAAATACTAGTTATAACTGGTGCTGTTTACTTTACATTCTAACATTTATGTACTCATTGAAAATTAAAATCCAAGTTCTTAGCAACCCTCTGCTTTCCTTGAAAAGGTTTCTGTGAATATACCCTTTTATATGTAGTGTTTTGTAAGGCTATTCAGTGAGCAATTCAAGTTCTGCTTTGGACACTGTCAAAAAAGAGGTCAAGTAGAATTTAGTACAATTTAAATATATTTCAAATGCATTTAAATAGCAGTGAGCTTGTTTACTGTTTGTTAGGTTTTAATACATGAGACATTGGACTAAATAATACAAATAATACATACAAGTAGTGCATGATAAATATTTGTGTGATAGTGGATATAGTGATGCCACAGGATGGGAATGAAAAAGATAAGTGTCTCCATTTTTGAGCATCCCTAGTCCGTGAGTATAAGACTTTCAGACTGATCTTGACTGGGAGAGCATTTTTACTTTTTCTATCTTCACCTCATTTTTTTTTTTTTTTTTCAGTTTATACCTTGTTTTATGGTAGGGGTTTACATAGGAGAAGAGAGTTATGTTGCCTGTCTTCCAACTCCCATATCAGCAAGATTTAGTGACAACCAAGTGACTTACAATTGATATGAAGGGTCTTCAAAAAGTTTTGAAAAAATGTGTCTTACAAAAAAACCCAAAAAACTACCCATGGATTTCAAAATTTTTTGCACCAAAAAACCTGATATTTTAATTCCATTTTCCACAAACTTGTTGAAGTACCCTCATATTTAAACACTGACTGTAACACTAGTTTTAAAATAATAGCACCTTCTAAATGTTCCTTTTTACCATTACTATATTGCCTATTAAAAATATTTGCAGGCCAGCAGGTGGTGTAGTGGTTAAGGCCCTGGATCCCACATAGCCAACTTAACTGTTCAAATCCCAGACCAGGTGGCTTGAAAATCACGCTGGACCCTTGTACGTGCATGCTAAAAATCCTGAGAGGAGACTGGAGGAGAAGGGATTGTGATGTGACTATCCTCCCCTCAGGGGTGATTTCTTACTTTGTTTCTCTCTGTCTTTGTCTCTGGAAAGTGCACATGGCCTATAGCAAAAACTATTTATATATATTTGCAAGTCAGTTCATATAAATGGTCTTTTCGTGTCATCTGCTCTTTCAGCCCAAAGTATATATACTTTTCTCTCTTTGATGTGTAACTTACTAAAAAGTATTTAAGAACTGATAAAATGATAGAATATGATAAAGAGTTGAGGTATAAGGAGTATAATTTGGGTTGTTGTTAACTAAAAATAGCTGCTTATAATGGAATTAATATCTCAGATTGTTCTGTGCATCGCTAAGAAATGAAGTACAAATAATAATATAAGAGACTATGATTGACTAAGATGTGAACTAAGTAGCTATTACTGTAACTTCATTGACTTACTGGATCCACAAGCAGTTACCTGGGTCATTCGATTATCCTGTTGACCTTCATAGTTTACCATATGGCAGCATACATAAGCTTTATTTTTTCTGTCCTTGATTCATTAATATGAATTAATAATGTTATTCATTAATTATTAATTATTATTCCAGCATCATCAGAGTGCCATTGTTCCTCATACTAGTTCTAGTGAAGTCTTCTCTATGCAGTGGTAGTGGACAGCCATGGGCCGCCGTGTGTGAATATTGCTGATCTGGTCCACCTGCCTGTGTTGAGGCAAGATTGGACCCACAGCATTGCATACAAATCAGTTGACCCTGTTTGATCTTCTAAAGAAGATTCATCTTCTCCTTCAGTTAGTTCTTTGATGCCTTAACACAGCTACTTTTTATATGGCCTCGACTGCATTTGCTGAAACTTAATCTCTTCTCCACCATCCTCTTTATGTCTCAGAGATGATTCACTTACCAAAGAATGTTATCACAGTGACCCAAAGAAGTTGACACACTCTTAGGCAAATATTTTAATATTCAGAAAACTTTAAAAATATATAAAAATGGTAGCCCCATTTTGGAATATTAAGTCATCTTTCTTTTTAGTGGGAGTTTTGAAAAGTACAAATCATTTTTAAATAAAGGTCAAGCCATATTTAATAATACATCAGTCCAGATTTGCTGAGTACATTAATAAAAATAAAATGTGTCTTACATTTTTGTTAAAACGAACTCTTGGCTAGCTTCTGAAGCCACCACTTTGATATCTTTGTGAGAAAACATATTAATGTTATTGAAACAGCTGTAACTAATTAGAGATTTTCTTTTTGAAAAATTACAAAGTAGTGCCCGAAGGGTTATTGGAGAATATATTCAGTTACTACATTCAGAGCAAGTTCCCTTTAAAGACGGTTTCTGTTCAGATTTATATATTTTTGTAGCACAGTCTTTCTGCCTTTTGCTTAACATCATTTTTCCAGCTAATTTGGGAATAGGAATTCCACTTCTGGCCAGCAACTTTATCAGCCCAAATATGACTGTTCATCTTCAAAGTGAGAATGGAGTCCTTGGTTTGGTAAGATGGAAATTAAAATTAATTTTCTTTATTCAGTCTTTATGGAGAATGTGATATTTCATTTAGTAAAATTTTCTGATAACAGGGTTATTAGCTTAAAGTTCCCAACCTTTTTTTTCTTTCTTTTTACTGTCATTAGAAAATGTTTAACTTTTTTCTTAAAATGATATTGCTAGCATGTAGTATCGTATTTTATGTAGTAAATGATAGCTCTCTGCCCAGATGGGCTTCTGATTGCTTCTCCTTGTCCATCTGTCAGTTTTCCTTTCTTATATTGTATCTGTTTTGGAGAGATCTTACCATTTCCTGTTTAGTTAACTGCTTCAAGCTCAGTGATTGTTAACAATTTTACAGTAAGTAAAAATCAATAAAGCTCAGAATGAAAATCTAAAGTGTAAGATTTCTGCTTTAGGACCAGAATATTTTTTTGACAATTAATTACTTCAAAGAACCTTAGAAGTTCTCATCTCATTTTTCTTCTGAGGCCCTATTGTCCAGAAGGGTAGAATTTTCTCTTCCTCAAAATTAATCTTTCTGATGAGCTTACTCTTCCTATAGAATTAGGCCATACTTTCTACTCAACACTTTAAGAAAATTAAGAACTAGCTCTGCTTTCTAGGTGATTTTTTTTAAACTTTATTTTCTTTTCTATGAATGAGAGAGACAGAGAAAGAGAGAAAGACGACACCCCAGCAGGGTCCAATGCTGTGATCCATGCTCAGCCGGGATCATGGGCACATTTGTGCCAGCACATCCAAGGAGGTCTCTGGATGCAAATTAATGACCTTACCACGTGGGTCTGCTTTGTAGCATGCACATGTTACTGCTGTGCCATAATTTGGGTCTCCTTTTTCCTTTTTTAAAGTTTTATTTATTTAAATAACATTTTAATTTAATTATTAACTATGATAGGGATTATTTAGTTTTTTGATCTATAGTATTTCTAATCTTTTATCATTTAGCAGTAGATCTTAACTGTTCATGTAATAAAAACTATATATATGGGGAGTGTATATCCAGTATTTAAAATATAAACAAATTCCATGGGCATATAGTGGCTGGGGCTTGGTTTAATGAATAATCATGACCATTTTCAAAGACAGGGAAATGATATATATCTTGATAAAAGCAGATTTATATTAAAGTCAAAAGACTTGCATTTTTTAAAGTATTTTAGAGATTTACCTAAAGTGATCAACTTCCTCACTCTGAAGGTAAGGGAAATATGTTTATGTGAATTTTCCACGATCAGTATTCAAAGGGCTAAAACATTAGTTGCCACTTCAGTTTATTAACCTGCTGCTTGATTGAATGAATAATCATGACCATTTTCAAAGACAGGGAAATGATATATATCTTGATAAAAGCAGATTTATATTAAAGTCAAAAGACTTGCATTTTTTAAAGTATTTTAGAGATTTACCTAAAGTGATCAACTTCCTCACTCTGAAGGTAAGGGAAATATGTTTATGTGAATTTTCCACGATCAGTATTCAAAGGGCTAAAACATTAGTTGCCACTTCAGTTTATTAACAGTATAAATCTTTAAAAATTATGTACAGGGAACCAGCAGTTAGCGTAATGGCTATGTCGCTGAACTCCCACGTAGTCGACTGCGGTTCGTGTCCCAGACCTGGTGGCTTAAAACTCATGCCGGGCGCGTGTGCATGCATGCCCAAGATCCTGAGAGGAGAATGGAGGAGAAGGGATTGCGGTGTGACCACCCCCCCCCCCGGGAGGGTGATTTCTCGCTTTCTGTCTCTATGTCTCTCTCCGTCTGGCAAGCGCACACGCCCTATAGTGAAAACCTCTCCAAAAAATAAAATAAAATAAAATAAAATAAAAATAAAAATTATGTACAAATTTTATAGCCAATATTCCTCATTCTCAGCACCATCTTAGGCCTTTTTTACCTTCCCTTTTTTTTAGCGTGTGTTATGTTATGAAACTACTTGCCCCATCAAGTAATTAGAATTGCCTTATAAAAATATATACAAGGGGCCAGAAGATAGCATATGGTTGTGTCAGTGAACTCCCACATGGCTGACTGCAATTCGAGTCCCAGAACCAGTGACTTGGAAATCACACTGGGCGTGTGTGCATGCACACCCAAGAGCCAGAGAGGAGAGTGGAAGAGAAGGGATTGTGGTGTGGTCATCTCCCCTTGGAGAGTGACTTCTCACTTTCCCTCTCATTGTCTTTCTCTCTCGGGCAACAACATGTACTCTAAAGCAAAAACCTCTCAAATACACACACATACACACACACACACTAACTTTGTCTCACCCAGGTAGCTTGTTGGTTACAACAGCTGAATTGCAAATAACTAACTGTGGAGTTCAAGTCCCAGACTTGGCAGCTTGAACAATACTCCAGGCACATGTGCATACATGCTCAAAAGTCCTGAGAGGAGAAGGATTGAAGTATGTCATTCCCCCTGAATGATGCTTCCTCACTTTCTCTCTTTCTCTGTCTCCAGGGAGCACACATGCCATGTAAGTTTAAAAAAAAAAAAAAAAGAAAAGTTTAAAAATCTCACTGATGGGCCAACAAATGGCATAGTGGTTATGTCACTGAACTCCCATATTGGCTGACTGTGATTTAAGTCCCAAACCAGGTTGCTTGAAAATCACACCGGGCATATGCACGTGCGTGTGCAAGATCCCAAGAAGAGAATGGAGGAAAAGGGATTACAGCATGGCCACTGCCTGAGGCGGGGAGGGGGTGGGGGGTGGAATCTCACCTTCTCTCTTGCTGAATCTGTCCGTGTTCTCCCCTTCCCCCCCATGAGCACAAGTGCCCTAAGGCAAAAACCTGTGTGCGTGTGGGGGGGGGGCAGGTGGAACCACTGAGGGTCAGCCCATTGCCTGGTAGTTAAGGCAGCAGGATCCCACATAACTGACTGCATAGCTCAAGTCCCAGACTGTTGGCTTGAGAAACATGCTGGATGCCTGTGCATGGGTGCCCAAATCCCAAGAAGAAAGAGATGGAGGAGAAGGAATTGCCTCATGACCATGCCCCATGAAGCGGTGCTTTCTCATGTTTTCTCTGTCTCTCTCAGAGTCCACACAACCTCTGGCAGAGTAAAAGGAAACAAATCCCACTTGGGGAGGATTAGCTAGGTAAAGGGAACATAAGGATCTCAAAACTGAGATAAAAGGAGGTAAGGACTTTCAGTGCAGCTCATTAGGAAGCTCAGAGTTTGCATATCTGGATATTTCTGGTTAAATAATGCAGCCATGACGTTTGTATCATTGATCCTACCTAAAAGGTTTATGAATAATGTTTCCTGTATAGTAGGTAATAAATAATAATGTTTTAGTTTTATTCACTTACATGGTTTTTCTTATTTAATTTATTATTATTATTATTTAAATTTGCTATAAGGCATGTGTTCACCAGAGAGAGAGAGAGAGACAGGGAAAATGAGAAAATAAGCTATCAAGTCCAGGACTTGAATCATGGTCAGCCATCATGTGGGAGTCCAACACCTTAACCACCACCCAACCTTCTGGCCTCCTTGACCTATATTTCTAATGGCTTAGCTTACCATTTCATAGTAGGTTCTAAGTAATTGCTTTTTGTTTTATTGACCTTGTTTTTTGTCTTGTTAATTTCTTTAATATCTTAACATTTCTTTCAAACTGGTACCTTTTTTTTTTTTTTAGGTTTTTGCTATAGGATGTGTATGCTTGCCAGACAGAGACAGAGAGGGGGGAAAGTGATAAATCACACCGCTATTTGTGCTCCCTCATTTTCCTCCTGGGATTTTGGACATGTATGCGTATGCACCTGATGTGATTTTTTAGCTGCTAGTTTCGGGACTCAAACTGGTCAGCCATGTGAGAGTCCAGTACTTTAACTACATGCCACCTGCTGGCCCCATCAAACTGGTACTTTTTAGAAAATATTCATTTGCTCAAGTACAACTAATGTAGGAAAGACTAATCAATAGGAGAAACGGAACCATGAAAACACTGTTTTTTTTTTTTTTAAGGTTCACTTTGAGTCTTTGGATGAAAACGTTTTGAGGAAGTTACTATATTATGGTTTTACTGTGTGGTTCAGCGAGATTCTTTTTGTACTAACTGAATGTGCTCTGTGTTTGGCAGGGTCCGTATCCACTACAACATGAAGCTGATGCAGATCTAATCAATGCAGGTAACCTCACTTCTTACGTATTTTTCTCAGCATTTCCTTGTGCTATTAATTTAATGCCATGCTAAATAACAGTTAGGATTTGGACTTGATTCTTGACTTTTCTTGGAGAGTACCTCACTGTATTTATCATTGAGAAGGAGAGATGCGTCCTTGGTCCTTTCTGTTTGTTTTAGAGACCAGGTCTCACTATGTTGTTTAAGCTGGCCTAGAACTTACAGTCTTCCTGGCTTGGCCTCCTGAGTAGCTGGGATTTCAGGCACTCATCACTGTGCTGAGTTTCTTCTCTCGCTTGGAGGTTTCCTTTCATTCAGAGATGACTAACATAAAGGAGAAAATGAAGGTGGAGGTACATTTAATGGAAGAGTTTTGATGGATCACCCTATTGGGATTCTGCCTATAAATTGAGGAGAGTTAAAGGAAGGGTCATTTTGCAAGGATGTGGATAGGATTAAGAGAAACCAAAAAAAGATAGTGGAACAGAGTTATTTTCACCCTTAGTCCTTAAGGGTCAGCAGTCTAAGAGGGCCACCTAACCCACGTACCAGGAACTCTGGCCTCGTAGAGGTATGTAGCCAACTTGCAGCAGCCTGGGTGGGGTGAGGGTTTTCTCTGCTGGATCTTTTGCCTGTGCCTCCTGTTGACCAATCCCAAATTGAAGTAGATCAGCCTTCTCAGGTTGGAGAAGAGTGGGAATGGATCTGTAGTAGCAAAAAGAAAAGATCTGGGGACCAGCAGATGGCATAATTGTTACATTTCTAGACTCACATGTAATCGATCACGGTTTAAATCCTGGACCTAGTGGCTTAAAACTCATGCTGGGCTCATGAGCCTGCATGCCCAAAATCCCAAGAGGAGAATGGAGGTGATGGGATCGTGGCATGGCCATCCCCCAGGGGGCAATTTCTCACTTTCTGTCTCTCTGCAAAGTTCTGGCATAGTAAGGTTTTTGTTGCATGTGATGCTTACTGTTCTCTAGTACTCATCAGAATGAGAGAGCATCCTCCAAAGGTACGGGAGCACTTAAGTGGCATACCCTGCCACTAAGTACTACTCACTTATATCAATAGCAAATACAGAGGTTCTTTGAGCTGGAGACTCTAGGATGTCTTTTCCTTTGTTCTTATACCCATATGATTTACCTCTTATTATTAGCCTTTGATTTCACTGAGGCATAGGGTCATGTATATTAGCAGACCGAATAAAGGAGGAAAAACAGGTTGGTCTTTTGACTGTCATGACTGCCAATGTTTGTAGCAACACTGCTACCATGTTGGAGCTGCAGATCATTCTTGGAGTGGGGTTACCAATTAGAAACTGAATTTTGTATCCTAGCATGATTTTCTACACCCTTTTTTACTTTCATTCATTCTACCCCCACAAAAGTATGAATCTTACCTTGCATTCAAAAACAGTATGTGCAAATCTCAGAAGAGAAGTAATATGCACTGAAGAAAAGCCAACTGCCAAGTAGAATTGATGTGTGATACTTAGAATTGGGAGAAGTCAAACAGCTTCTGGTTGAATAGTTGAATTAGTTAACACAACTCAGCTCTGAAAGCCCACTGTGATAAAGCAATGACATTTAACCAAGGCTGTAATTTAATTGTACTGTACCCTTTAGCAATAGCTCATTGATCTGTGAAAATATTTGCTGCTTGGTTTAATTAATTTATGATGTTAGTGAGTTATTTGCAAAACGATTATTTCCATTTTCCAAATTTCAGGCTTGGGTTCATAAAACCCAGTTTCCTTGAGAAAGTACTTAATCTTTTCAATGCCATTGTTGGACAGTAGGTGTTTCTGATTCCATGAACTTAAAAGTAGCTCATTCCTGGGACCAGCAGTTAGCGTAATGGCTATGCCACTGGACTCCCATGTAGTCCACCATGGTTCGCGTCCTGGACCTGGTGGCTTAAAACTCACGCCGGGTTCGTGTGCGTACATGCCCAAGATCCCGGGAGGAGAACGGAGGAGAAGGGATTGCGGGGTGGCCATCCCCCCTGGGAGGTGATTTCTCGCTTTCTGTCTCTATGTCTCTCTCTGTCAGCCTGGCGAGCACAGATGCCCTATAGCAAAAACCTCTCCAAAAATAAAAAAAAAAAAAGCTCATTCCTAATGAAGCCACCTTCTGAAATACCATGTATAATCTTGAACTACTTTGTAAAACAAGATTTCATTGCTTTTGGAAAGCCAGTATGCAAATCAGTTTAATAATATTGAGTCCTTTATTGCAGCCCTTTTTTTTTTTTTTTGATTTTGGATGCTTTTGATTTTGAAGTTGTCTGAATTAGGAAGGAAATACTTTATGTTAGAGAACTTAGAATATACTGGATCATCAGAAAAATCATGATGCAATTTTCCATAGGAAAAAATTACATCATGACTTTTCCAGTGACCAAATATATTAGCAATTTCTTTAACTCTCAAAAAATACTTAGAAATTACCTTGAAGATCAGCTCATTGTTTACATTAGTTTGAAAAGATTTCTGTGTGGACATCACCCTGAATGAATATAAAGAATTATGTTTCTGAGTATAATTAGTCTATTAAAGTTTCAAAATAATGATAGAACTATTTCCAAGGGTCCTTTTTTCTAAATAATAGCCTCATAAGGTTACAAAAAATGAATAACTGATTGTGTAGCTATATGGTGTAGAGGGTACATTTTTATGTTATACTACTTGAGCCTCAAGTGAAACCTCATTATACAGACTGAAAAACTGAGGCCCAGAAAAGTGAGGTGATATACTCAAGATGATATTGCCAGAGACTGAACTCACACAGTGTTCTGTTCCTGACCCCTGGCCTTTTTTCCTATATACTAAGCTACACCTGCTGATAACCTGCCTTTTACAGAGGTGCAGACAGCAGTGCTTAGAACGTTTTATATGTCCCATGAAAATCTGGGTATGAACCTGTGGTAACCCAATCTAATATGGCTGTAAAGTTTTCAGTTTCATGTTTTTATTTTATATTAACTTGTATTTTGCATTCTTCTCTGTTCATGTTGTTTTCTTATTTTAATATACAAATAATTTTTTGTTCTTGTTTTTTATGTTTTTTTTTTCCCCATAGAGTCTCACCAGAGACAGAGAGAAACAATGAAAAGAAAAGTGAGAAATCACTCCCGCGAGGGGAGATGGCCATGCTGCAATCTCTTCTCCTCCACTTTTCTCCTGAGATTTTGGGCACACATGCAAATGTGCCTGGCATGAGTTTCATGCTGCCAGGTCTGGGACTTGAACCATAGTTGGCATGTGAGAGTCCAGTGCCTTAACCACCATTCCACTTACTGGCCCCCAAATAATGTTTTAAATAACTTGCCTTTTATTAAAATTGCTTTAGGAAGAATAACATGTTAATCTAGCCTATAAGAATTCCTGACCACCTGCTATAATCTCTCCAATAGTGGTTTTCAGCAGACTGGTTGGCTGGCCCCAATCTTTGCCCCTCTTGGGAACATTTGGCAATGTCTGTAGACATTTTTGATCATCATGTTTATGGGAGGGAATGCTACTGTTATCTAGTGGGTAGAGATCCAGGATGCTGCTAAGCATTCTACAATAATAGAACAGCCCCCAGTAGAGTCCTCCAGCCTCAGAGGTCAGTAGTGTCCAGGAGGAGAAGCTCTGCCCTGGGAGTCTATGTACAACCTGAAGAATCACAGGCCTGCAGACTAAAGTACAAATAGCACAGCATTCCAGATCTCTAATGGCTCTAACCACCTTTTCCAGCTTTATCTTTCACTGTACTCTACAAGGATGCCTTTGTCCGTCTTACTGTTTCTCCATACTTGAGTATGAATGGAGGAGGATACTGATAGAAGACTTGGCTTTTGGGGAGGACTTGAGAAGCTGAGGGTACAGCTGTGTGGCACAGCTGGGAACAGACAGACCATTTCTGGTCCTATTGGGTCAAGAAACTTTTCTTTCCCTTCTGTGCAGTTACACTGGGGCCAGGTATGGGGTCTTTTATGTTGACTTACCTTTGGCAAAGTGACATGTGAGCGCTCTTCTGGTTAAGATTGGAAGCTCCTAAACAGAGAGGAAATACATCACAAGACAAGAGCAGCTTGGCTATGAGTCAGGTGATATTATTAGTTGCTTGGGGACTGGTTGACCTTGAAGATGTTTCCAGCTCTGCACTTTTGTTATTAAGAGATGTTAAGTTTCGGAGAGGTCCTTCTGAGGAACCACTTGAAAGTTAACATGAAATACGTAGGACAGTGTTATCTTGTTTTTTGTTATGTTCATCAAAGTGCTGTGGTTTTAATAGAAGCTTATATGGGTAAGAGTAGAGAGGAGTCAGAGAGCAAGAAAAAAGGGAAAGACATCAAAAGAGGGTTTGGGCCTAATGATATTAAAGAATTAGGTGGATCCTTCCTTTCTATGTTATTGGTTGATTTTTTTATTTTCCCCTCAGCTTTATTAAGGTGTAATTGACAAAAAGTTTGTGTATATTCAAGATATACAATATGTTGATTTGTTATATGTACATTGCCAAATAATTACCACAACCAAGTTAATTAACACATTCATCACCACACAGTTTTTATTTCTTTGGTGAAAACACTTAACATCTATTTTCTTAGCAAATTTTAAGTGCTCAATATAGTATTAATATAGCCACCATACTGCACGTGTGAGTTTCAAAACTTATTAATCTTTTTAGTAATATTATCTGTTGACTTTTAAAAAACAAAAAAAAACAGGAACTACTGTGTTATACCTTTCTAAATAATTGCATTTCTTCTTATGTTCATGTTTATTCCACAATCTCTCTGTTCCAGTGACTGATAGTAGCATTGGATTCTGACAGGTGTCATCCCAGAACTCCCTTCCTCTTCATTCCTGTTAGTGTTTAGCAGTGGCTTGTGAAGGAAATTGGTGCTGGCAGGAGGCTGAGCAGGACCAGGCAATAGAGCGGTGCATTATCAATAGAGAATTTCCAGACAACAGTACAACTAAAAGTTAGTTTGCCTTTTATTATCACCATCCAGGGGCAATGCTCAGCAATGTCAGTGACAAAATACTCCTTTTACCAGGGTAAACAGCTCCTACTGTGTGCTGTCCCCTCACCCACCACCACTCAACTCTCTTTGCCATTGCATTTTGGTAAAGGGAACTTAAATTCTTTCGGAAATGGAGATTTCTCTACCCAGAGACTCTTAGAAATATAATAGTCTTTTCTTTCTTTCTGTTTTTCCCCGTCTTTTGTGTGTATGTTTAGGCAAGGAAACAGTTACTGTTCTCCCAGGAGCCTCTTTTTTCTCCAGCGATGAGTCATTTGCAATGATTAGAGGGTATGTAATAACGGAGCCCCTCATGTTTCCCCCGGTGTGGAACGAGCTGAGTCATCCTTAGTTGCTTGGGGACTGGTTGACCTTGAAGATGTTTCCAGCTCTGCACTTTTGTTATTAAGAGATGTTAAGTTTCGGAGAGGTCCTTCTGAGGAACCACTTGAAAGTTAACATGAAATACGTAGGACAGTGTTATCTTGTTTTTTGTTATGTTCATCAAAGTGCTGTGGTTTTAATAGAAGCTTATATGGGTAAGAGTAGAGAGGAGTCAGAGAGCAAGAAAAAAGGGAAAGACATCAAAAGAGGGTTTGGGCCTAATGATATTAAAGAATTAGGTGGATCCTTCCTTTCTATGTTATTGGTTGATTTTTTTATTTTCCCCTCAGCTTTATTAAGGTGTAATTGACAAAAAGTTTGTGTATATTCAAGATATACAATATGTTGATTTGTTATATGTACATTGCCAAATAATTACCACAACCAAGTTAATTAACACATTCATCACCACACAGTTTTTATTTCTTTGGTGAAAACACTTAACATCTATTTTCTTAGCAAATTTTAAGTGCTCAATATAGTATTAATATAGCCACCATACTGCACGTGTGAGTTTCAAAACTTATTAATCTTTTTAGTAATATTATCTGTTGACTTTTAAAAAACAAAAAAAAACAGGAACTACTGTGTTATACCTTTCTAAATAATTGCATTTCTTCTTATGTTCATGTTTATTCCACAATCTCTCTGTTCCAGTGACTGATAGTAGCATTGGATTCTGACAGGTGTCATCCCAGAACTCCCTTCCTCTTCATTCCTGTTAGTGTTTAGCAGTGGCTTGTGAAGGAAATTGGTGCTGGCAGGAGGCTGAGCAGGACCAGGCAATAGAGCGGTGCATTATCAATAGAGAATTTCCAGACAACAGTACAACTAAAAGTTAGTTTGCCTTTTATTATCACCATCCAGGGGCAATGCTCAGCAATGTCAGTGACAAAATACTCCTTTTACCAGGGTAAACAGCTCCTACTGTGTGCTGTCCCCTCACCCACCACCACTCAACTCTCTTTGCCATTGCATTTTGGTAAAGGGAACTTAAATTCTTTCGGAAATGGAGATTTCTCTACCCAGAGACTCTTAGAAATATAATAGTCTTTTCTTTCTTTCTGTTTTTCCCCGTCTTTTGTGTGTATGTTTAGGCAAGGAAACAGTTACTGTTCTCCCAGGAGCCTCTTTTTTCTCCAGCGATGAGTCATTTGCAATGATTAGAGGGTATGTAATAACGGAGCCCCTCATGTTTCCCCCGGTGTGGAACGAGCTGAGTCATCCTGTGAACATGTTAGCAGGGCCGTGAAACACAGCCTCGTCTCCCAGCCAGAAAACCGTCACGGGCTTGTTCGACTGCAAGATGTGAGATTATTCACATTGAATGTTGGGCATTGAAATATCCGGCCCACAATTATGAAAAGAATTCTCCAAATGGAATATATATCATTGTGCCAAATAGATGGAAATAAATATTTCTAAGATCCTTTCTGAGGATCCAAACATTTTCTTCAAACTGTGTATTCACTTTTTATCTAGTGTTTGTCTTCAAATCGAGTCATATTCTCCCTCACTAAAGGAAGAAAACTTACTGTATATACCTGTTTTTAATTTGTTTTTGGAGGCAATATAGACTGTAATTAAAAAAAAACAAAACTTTTTTATTTCTCTACGTTGACTTGGAGCTGACCTATTCGGAAATCAGTTGTGGGGTAGCAGGAAGCAAATGTATTTTGGGCATATAGAATTATTTTAATTGCTGGAAATTTCTAGCAAAGGGGAATTAAGCTTATTTTCTATTTCCTGTTTTCCTTTCTCAGGGGACATGTCAATCTAACAATGCTAGGAGCAATGCAGGTTTCCAAATATGGTGACCTGGCTAACTGGATGATACCTGTAAGTAGAAATTTAGTTTTGAATTATGCTTGGGTCAGAATAATTATGTTTTGTAATATTTAGAAAAAGAACTTGTCAAATTGCTATGAGAACATAATATAATTATTTAAAAAGTTAAGAAATACTTTAATTTCTCATTTGAATCTCAAGTTTTAATTAAAAGAGCACTGAAAAGTATTTAGCTCTGCCAGTTTACTGTGTAGTTGGGAATAAAAATAAGCAAGGTCTCGGCCAAAGCAACATTTTTCTTAGAGAAACAGAGTTAGTAAAAACAAAAAAATAAATGTGTTAATTATACTCTGCTGAAAAGTAAGAAATGCATATGTTTACCATAACTAAGGTTTATAACTAGAAAGAACAATGCAGAGGTTCATTAATTTTATGTTAGTTCTTTTTTGAGTTTTTTACTATAAGGCATGTGTGCTTGCCAGAGAGACAGAAACAGAAGGCAAGAAATCACCGCCCCTGAAGGTTTGGTCACACCACAATCCCTTCTGCATTCTTCTCTCGGGATTTTGGGCACGTGTGCACACAGGCCTACCATGAGTTTCAAGCCGCTCAGTCCAGGACTCAAAACTGCAGTTGACCATGTGGGAATCCAGCACCTTAACCATTACACCTGCTGCTAGTCCCAGTTCTATTATTTTCTTATTTACAGTGATTAAAATCCTCTCTGGATTGGGCATATGATCCCCATAAATAATCAATCACATCATCTTCTGTTATGGAATGCAAAACCTGTAGTAGTTCATCATGTTCATGCAATACAAACAGTTTTTGCTTAATAATAACCTAAATAAGGGAAGAAACCTCTTAGAATTAGCTTTGGAAAATGGACTATAACCAGTAACTTAATTCTTTTTTTTTTTTTTTTGGAGAAGGTTTTGGCATAGGGCGCATGCATGCCCCAGAAAGACAGAAAGACACAAAGCGAGAAATCACCCCCCAAGGGGGATGACCATGCCGCAATCCCTTCTCCTCCATTCTCCTCTCAGGATCTTGGGCATGCACGCACATGCCCCTGGCATGAGTTTTAAGCTACCGGGTCCAGGACGCGAACCGTGGTCAACTACATGGGAGTCCAGCGACATAGCTATTATGCTAACTGCTGGTCCCTGCCAGTAACTTAATTCTTGAGTGTGATTTATTATATTCTAGGTTGTTGCTTCCTGATTAGTATGTGGAAACGATGGATGTGCGTCTATGATTATAAGCGCTTTTGGTCAATAGCTCAGCTTACTCTTGTGATGTGTATGTTTCAAGATTTCTGTGTGTTTCTCTGTAGCACCAGCCATAAAGAATCTTGCCAGGTAAACTGAGGTTCTTATTCTATAATGTGACAGTTACCTGAAATTTCTTATATTTTTCCAAGGTTTTATGAGGAAGGTGGATTTATATAGTTGATAACAATATTAGAGAACATGTTAATTTAGCTTTTGATACAACATCACCTGAAATTTTATCTTTACATTTTAGTAACTGTTAAAACTATGTTTCTTCTGTTTGTTTGTTTATTTCTTTCTTTTATGAGCTAGAGAGACAGAGATTGAACAGCACCGGCAGGTTCAGCCAGCCCTAGGCCATGAGTGTGTGCATGCTTGATGTACTTTGGGAGGTCTCTGGATGTGATCTAGAACCCTCCCACCTAAGTTAACCTCACAGAGCATCTCATTTTACCACTGCCGCTTACAGTATGGCCCAAAGCTTGATTCTTAACTTCAGTAGCTTATGGGCATTACCCTGGAGTTTTAAAAAATATTGATGTCTGGTCTTTCAGCCACAGTTTCCAATTTAGTTAATCTATAATGGAGCTTGGGCAGTGTACAGATTTAAACAACCCACATTTGAGAATCAATTTATTAAAGAATGATCATAATTCACTCATATTTTAAAATGTAAGGGTCAAACACCGACCCCTTAGTAGTAAGAAGTCTTAGCAAATTATGTCTTATATTCATACTTTAGTCACAAAAAATATTGATCATTCTAAATCAGCTATATATAAGCTATTATAAGGATTGACAGCTTTTAGAGCTTCAAAGAACTCAGGGAGCGTCTCTGGAACATTGTACAGTGAGTCAGATTGATAATTTATGGGGCCACTTATTTGTGTAGGAAATTAGGTTGTATTTTTATTTTTTAATTTTAGAAAAAAGCCATTGGGAGTAGTAGAAGGACCATAGGAAAGCAAGCCCTGGGTTTTAGTTCTAACTCTATCAGTAATCAAGGTATGACCTTGAACATATCACTTATGCTCTTCGGGGTAAAGTCTCTTTGTCTATAAAAGGAAAGTTTGAGACTAGGTGATGTCAGAGGCTCTGTCTGGTTCTTGTAACTTACCAATTTAGAGCAAGGACATTGTAGTGATTCAGACCTAGGATGAAATTCTATTTTTGTCACTTTCTAGGGTATAACTTGAGTCCGTTGCCTATGTTTCCTCATTTGTAAAATGGGAATGATATAATAGCACCTGTTTTGTAGGACTAGGTAAAGGAATAAATGAGATAATAAACAAAATACATAGCACAGTTTGACACATACTGTATGCTAAATAAATGGGTTATTATTTTCATAAGTTAAGAAGGAGAAGTTGAGGAATATCTGGTAGACTGGAAGGGAATAGCATTGTAACCATGAACAGAAGCAATAGGGTTTTAAATATATTTATTTCTATGGACTGGTGATTTTTGAAATTAATCTGCATAGTGGTTCTAGGTGTGGAGCACAAACATTTTCAACCTGTTCTTTCCTTCAGGGAACTTGGGCATCTTTAAAAAGTCACCGTATGATCTGTGTTTAATTATAATTTATCATTCAGTAGGGCTGGACCCTCTCATAGTGGAAACATGCTTTTTGTAATTTTCATTTGGAGGAAACATTTCCCAATATACACCATACTTACATATCCTGTTAAGAGTGCTGAGAATGATTAAAATGCCAGTGTTTATTACTTTACAATTTTGTTATTACTTTATAATTTCATTATTTCCAATAATTTGGAGCTCATGAGTTTCCAAAAGAATGGCCTTAATGGAGTGACGGGGAATTCTAGAGTTCTAAAAGGATAATATGATAATCTTTTTGAGAAAAAATAAGCATAAAAGTGTCCTTGGATCTGGCTCCACTCTTTTGGTCTTGGAAATTGGTAGTGTCATTTCTGATTGGGGTTTTTTTGTTCACTTAGTAACTGAAAATCACTCCTTGACTTATTCGTATGTTATAATACAATGCATATTTTTATTCTTTGGAGCTCAGGACAGCTTCAGTCAAGACCACCTTTAATCTGAATGAGATCTGACTTGAATTTCATCTCTACCCCTTACAAATTATGTGATCTGGAGCACATCTTTTTGTTAGGATTAAGGAAGAAGAAAATCAAAAGCAAATTCTCCAAGCACCTCATAAACAGTGGCTATTATTTTCATCTTTTTAAATGCTCTATCACTTAACACTAAAGAGGGAATATTTGCCTTAAAATATGCTGGCATGAGCAAGAATATTCCATAGGGATCAGTACAAACTGTTTAATCTTAAGTTAATTTTCAAATACCAAAACTTAAACCCTTGGAGGGCACATTTCTTACTTTTATTGGTTAAGGATAAGATACAGCCTACCCTCCTTATATAATTTCAGTAAGCAATCTATTCCTGTTTGTTCTGAAGATTTAGGTTGATTTGTTAGATGTAGATGTATTTTCATTGCAAGGTCTGGCAGTCAAGAAACTGAAAAGTTCAGTTTATTATATCATTTTTTATTTACTTTTATCTTTTTACTGAGTTTAATGATCTTTCAGTGGCTGTACAAACCTTGAGTTCTCAGCATCTTGGCATTAGCACCAGTCATCATGGTGTCAGATTGCTATAAACACTAAGGCTTTAAGGCTAATGAATGAGGTGGATGCTATTTGTCTACCCTTTAATAGCCTCTTTGTAAGCAGGTTGACCTCATGTACACTGATTTTTAAAATATTGCCCTAGCATTTATAGGACAAACAAATGGGTTATTATCTGTTGAAGATAACTTTATAGTAGTGTCAACTAGACTGGTGAGAAATGTACACATGTTGAAATATTCACTTTGCAAGCTAAATATTGTGATTGAATGTATAAAAGAAATAGAAATAATTTTAAAATTTTAAAAAATATATTGCCCTAAGCATCCAAAGAAAGAAAATTTGACAAAATAATGATTGGCTCCTTCAAGTTCCTTTCTTGGGACAATGATGGTAAAACCCTAGGCAAGCTAAGAAAAGATGGAAAGATGTGTAGTCCATGAAATTTATATTCAGAGCTGCTCTGGTGCCTTCTGAATGGCTATTTTTGGAAAACAGCTGGGATAGATTATTGACTTATGAAAGGAAGCAGATGTGTATGATCATCTGTGGGAACTGGCTATTAAAAGCACAAAACAGCAGCCCAGTGGACAAGGCTGCCATTCCTGAGTGGCATAAGAGCCAAGGGCCCTCTCCGGTGTGGAGAAGATTGAAAGAGACATTCTTAAGACAAAGGTGAATAGGACAGTTTTGGTCCCAGTTTTTATTTCTCTGTGCTTTTAAAGGAATAAATAAAAGTCAGTGTTGTACTCATGTTTTGCTGCATGTCTGAGTATATAAAATTGACTCAGTTCTCTAGTGTGAAGTCTGCTTTAAATGAACTTATTTTCTAGTCTTCCTAGTTGTAAAACTAAGGCAGTTTTTGTCCAAGAATCAATCTGTTGAATTATGTGTATCAGTTGTAGCCCAAATATTAACCCCATATATTCCTGTGTACATAATGAAAACACTGCAGTGCAGGCTGGGACCACACGGAAAGCTTGTGTTGGATTCCTCGACTAACCTAAAAGGCTGGGTGCAGTGATGTGCACCTGTAGTCCTAGTTGAGAGACAGAGGCAGGATCAAAATCATAGCACGGCAAGATCCTGTCTTAAAAAGATATATATAGAGACCAGCAGTTAGCGTAATGGCTATGTCACTGGACTCCCTTGTAGTTGACCGTGGTT